TTTCCAGAGGGAATGGCAAGAAGCTCAGACAAAGGTAGGTTAAGAACAGCTGTGAACATACTTGGAGCAGGCTGTGTGGGCACATTCTCAACAAGGCTTCTTATTTTGTCAAATTCTTCCTGAAGTACCAAAAACCTGTTCTAAGAAATCTTTCGATAATCTTTGAGGGGATATCAGAAACCAGGCCAGCTCCCTATTTGTTGGAATTATTTCTCAAAACAAGATTAATGAATCAATGAGATTTATGTTTACACCGCATGAATATAAACATGATTGCTATTATTTCCTATTCCTGTTGTCCATCTGTAAAAGACTTGAACACTCCGTATTTATTTGGCTGTAAACCGCAATCTTTGCAACGGGCTGTCACAATGTTTTTAACATTAACACTTAATGCTTTCTCCTCTCATTGCCCAGGCCTCCTCATCAGCACTTTCTATTGCTATGTGCCAGTCTTAGTGAAGGCCCATTTTTGTTTCAAGACAAAAAAACGTGACTTTGGGTTTGCCACAGGCTATCAGGTGCTGGCAGAACACCATACACAGCAGCAGCTTCAGAGAATCTAAATGCAGCCTCTGTGCCCACCATTTTCTCCTAGCCATAAAAACACACCATTGCTGGTTTCTCATGTTGCTGGGCTGTTCTGGTCTTCCCACCAAAACAAAACAGAGCTCACGGTGGCTCAGCGGTTAGCACTGCTGCCTCACAACACTAAGGACCCAGGTTTGATTCCACTATCAGGTGACCGTCTGTGTGGAGCTTGCACATCCTCTCCATGTCTCCGTGGGATTCCTCCAGGTGCTCCGGTTTCCTCCCACAGTCCAAAGGTGTGCAGGTTAGGCCAACTGGCCATGCTAAATTGCCTATGTAGTGTCCAGGAATATGCAGGCGAGGTGGGTTAGACATGGGTAACAAGGACAGAGTTGGGGATGGGTCTGGGTGGGGTGCTCTTCAGAGGGTCAGTATGGTCTTGATGGTCGAATGGCCTACTTCCACACTGTAGGAATTCTATGATCACAGCAAGAAACCTGAACTACTGACATAAAAAATGAATTATTTGCACTTCTTGTTGCTTAAGGCAGGCTGAGCAAAACAGAATGCATGACATGGGTAAACAAAGTGCTCAGAGATTTTTTTCCCCCGTGGCCTGAATAACATCTATCTCCAACACAGCCAAAAATAATTTAACTGATTATTTATCGCATTTGAGGTTTGTGGGATTCGAGTTCAGCCAGATATAATCTTGTATCTGCTGGAGAAAAATCAAGTGTTGTCAACTGACCAGAAGTCAGCATCGTTTACTGCTTCAGTCAGAGAAGCTGGAAAGCATTCACACTACAGCAATGGGACATACCCTTGCATAATGCGTCACTTCACATGGACTGAGAGCTGGGAACTTTCTTTTACCAACCTGTCAATTCGCGGAGGCCGAGTGGATGGCACGTCTACCCTGGCTGGTGAGTCTAGGACCAAGAGACAATCTCAGGACAAGGGGTAGGTCATTCAAGACTGAGGTGAGGAGGAATTTCTTCAGAGGATGTTGAACATAGGGAGTTCTCTCTCCTAAGAGTGCTGTGAAAGTTCACTCGCTGAGCAGGTTCAAGACCAAAATCAATATGCTTCAGGAAGAGCAAATTACTCCAGATGCTGGAATCTGTGCTGGAGATAAAAAAAAAATGCTAGAAATCACAGCCGGTCAGGCAGCATCCATGGAGAGACAGCAAGTTCACAATTCAAATCTAGAAGACTCTTCATCAGAGCTGGTGATGAAGAGTCATCTAGACGTTAACATGCTGTCTCTCTATGGATGCTGCTTGACCTGCTGTGATTTCCAGCATTTTATGTTTTCAGGTTCCTGGATATTACTGGCAAAGAATTTGGAGATAGTTTGGGAGAGTAGCATTGAGGTAGATGATCAGCTGTAATTTAATTGAACAGGTTCAATGGCCCCTTCCTGTTCTTTTCCCAGGAAGTCTGCACTAACAAATAACTAGGAAATGCCCCAGTAGAGTCCTAGCAGGGTCATCATGAAGAGGCTCAGAAGACTGTGGCAGATCTTGCACCAGTAAGATACCTGGTCGTGGTCTTAGATGCCAGTCTCTCCAGAGGCTGTGCAATGCCACCTGGACCAAGAGGAGGTTGCACAATGTGTAGTGTGGCATAACAGGAGTATGGACAGGTTCTGTCTAGGTCTAAATACTCCCAAAAGCTGCTACAATTTTCAAACCATCTTCAATGTAGACATTGACTAAGATGCTCCACAGGCAAATGCAGACCCAAGGCAATGATGAGAGGGAACCAAAAGCTCAGCCAGAAGGTCGGGTTACAAGGAAAGTGATAAAAAGGAGGACAGGGAGAGAGCGAGGTGGGAAAATTTAACAGAATTACAAAGGAAAAAGGAAAGAATAGAAAGAGTTCAAGATGGGCTTGAGTAGCTTGGAGTGAGAACCTAACAGATTTAAATGCAGGGTTAAGAATTTAAAATTTTAGATGTTAGGGGACTCCAGCCTATCTAGATTAAAAAAAAAGTACTGTTTTAAAATATATTTGTCAAGGGGTGTGGGAATCACTGTGGCCAACATTTTTAGCCCATCCCTGACTGACTTTGAGGAGTGGATGGTAAGCCATCTTTGGGAATCACTACAGTCCATGTTGTACAGATACATCCACAGCACTCTTCAGGTAGAGTGTTCCAGGATTGTTGATTTACTCTTCCATGAAACACAGCTGTCACTGGCAAAGGCAGTATTTGCTTTCCATCCCTAACTGCCCTTGGACTGAGTGACTTACGAGGCCTTTTCAGAAGGTTGTGAGGAGTTAAGTAAATTGCAGTGATGTGGAGATACATGTAGGCCAGACTGGGTAAGGATGGTATATTTGCATCCCTAAAAAAGGATATTAGTGAACTAGATGGGTTTTTATTACAAATCAGTGACAGCCTCCTGGTCTCCATTACTGACACTAACTTTCAATTCCGGACTTTATTTATTGACTTTTAAATTCCATCAGCAACCTTGATGGGATTTGAACCGATGGCTGGGAGGGGAATTTGCAGACACTCAGTCTTGCCTTTGTTACCTCCAGACTTGATTATGCTAATGCACTCCTGGCGGACTTCCCAACTTCATAAATTTGTGGCCACCCCAACGTCTGCTGCTTGTGTCCCAACTCCCACCAAATATCTTTTGTCCATTTGCTACCCTTGTCCTTCTAGCTAGTAAAGGTCATGGCAGCAAGGTGATGCTGAAGGAGCTTTGGCCAATAGAGTGCAGGCACAGAATTTTGGGCGAGTTGGCAAACCATCCCTCCTCACTCTTTTTAACCTTTTGACGGAATTGATCACCACACTGCATTCCTGCATACCCAGTTCAACTGTAATCCAAATCACTGTTCGAGACCAGTCAGTGGATTCTCTTCCTACTCCTGCACCCTTATTCTGTTGTCCCTTGAGAATCTGTCCTTCGCCTGCACTGCTGTGGTATTTAACTGCTGTATCCTTGGTGGCATCATTCAAGTTTCTACATTTACTGAAGGCAGCCTAATGGACCTTACCACTAACCCACGTGAGCCCTCCACACAATTGTTAAACTATTTCTGACATCCAGAAACCTCATCCCAGATTGAACTAATTGTCTTCATTTCCTGCCACAAACTCTGCTCCCTCGCCACTGACTCCATCCCTCTCCATTTCAAATGCTCGAGACTGTCTGCAGCTTCAGTGTCATAGGTGAACGCATGATGATCTTTCAGCCACATATCGACACCAATGCTAAAGCTGCTTATTTCTACATCCTCGCACTGTCCCACCTTGCCCCGCCTCAGCTCTTCTGCCACTGAAACACTCAGTCTTGCCTTTGCTAGTTCCACGCTTGACTATTCTAATGGACTTATGGCTAGGGGTGGGTCTGGGTGGGACGCTGTTCAGAGGTTCGGCATGGACTTGATGGGCCAAATGGCCTGCTTCCACCCTGAAGGGATTCTATGATACTTGCTCCACCATTTGTGACCATGCTTTCAGCTGCTTAGACCCAAAAGAACAAAAAGTCCCTCTCTAACCTTCTCCACTTTCCTCTCTTAAGGCACTCTACTACCTACCTCTTTAAAACAGGCTTTTGATCATTTTCCCTATTATCTGCTTTTGCAGTTCAGTATCACTTTCAGTTTTATAATGCCTCTGTGAACCACTTTTGGGACATTTCATTGCTACACAAATATAAATTGTTGTTGTTTTTGGAGTTCAAGAGTATACACGATCAAAAGCCAGAAAAGCATTGGAATAATCTGAAATTTGACAGTGACAATGACTGTTTTTGCTGTGTTCTTATTTTCTAGTAAAATTGAAGTAAAGATTGATTCTGTCCTTCAAGTTAACCATCACCAAACGTGAACTCAAAATGTCCGCAAACTAAGCTATTAGACAGAGGTGACAACTTGTATTTAAATAGCACCTTAGACATTGTAAACTTCTGCATCTGGGACGTTTCACAATCTATCAAAGGCAAATTTAGGATTCCTCTCAAAGTTTCAGAAAGGGAAAAGCAACAGACAAACTGAAAACTTAGAAGTAAAAAAAAAAATCAGTTCCTCACAAATTAATCTAATTCATACCCTATCAAAAACAACACCGTGTTCACCCCAAAATGAGATGGATAATTATCAACGGCACAAAGGGTTATGAGGATAATGTGGATGAAAGATATTAAAATGTGTTTGATCAGCCACACAGTCTTATTAAGTGGTGAAGTGGACTCAATGGGCGGAATGGTCTACACCTGTATCTAGTTTCCTGGGATTTCAGATCATCATGGAGTCACCTCACGTGTTGATGACCCAGTTCAATTTCACTGGTGACTGTTTTAAACTGAAAAGCGGAAGATCTTTACAAACTCTAGATTACCCTCTTATGGATCAGAAGTCCATAAGGCTGGCGAATGAAACAATCCCGCCCATCCACCACCCCGACTCTTATTCCAAGAGAGGAGAAAGGAGAGCTTCCTTACCATTTGTCTCTTCCAGATTTCCGTACAGGTGCATCAGCCCTGCACTGCTGGCTTCGTCATTAGTGCTGTCCTCTGACACACAGACCTGTAGTCAAAGTGACAACAAGAAAAAGAACATTGAGGTGGGGCTCTGGTAAATACAGAGGAACTAATTTCTCCGTCAGTTGCTGATTGACATGATAGACTTTTTACAAATTTGTTTTTTCCATAATTGAACTCATACAAGTCCCTTTCCCTATAGCCAATGAAATATCCTGCTACCTACCACATTGAGTTACACAAAGAAGATAGCAATATTATAACAATAAGCCTTGATCTCATTGAATGTTGGAGCAGATAAATGATACTTATCATTGGCCCCTCCTGCTCAGATTTCCTGCGTAATAACGAATCCCAGTCCAAATTCCTTTCTATACTGAAGCCTCTGCGCTGGGTCAATTGGCAGAAAATAAGGGAGAAACCAAATTCTTTCTAGATCTACTGAAACAATTTTGCTTTCTCTCCATCATGCTGCCTGACGCGCTGTGATCTCCAGCATTTTTTGCTTTCAGTGCTCTGGTTACCTGATCAACAGTGAGGCAGTGGTGAGCCATCTTCTTGAACCATTGCAGTCCTTCTGCAATGGGTTTGGTACAAGTGAATGGCTTGCAAGTCAATTTCAGGGGGCAGTTAACATTGCTGTTGGATCTGAAATCACATGTAGACCACACCAGATAAAGACAGCAGATTTCCATCCATAAAGAATATTAGTGAACCAGATGGTCACAACAAATTGATGATTTCATAGTAACTTTGAGAGAGACTGGTTTTCAATCCCAGATTTGTTAATTAAATTTACATTCCACAAGCTGTCACAGTGGGATGGGACCAGAGGCGTCAGATCATTAGCCTGGCTGTCTAAATTACTTGCCCAGTGATATTTCCTCTACACCATGATACAAATGTATTTTGGCAGTAGGCATCTCATTTGTTCTTGGCAGTGCAGCCTTCACCCAGTCTTGCTGGACTTATTTACAGCAAAGGTACTAGGCAGCAATCGGGACGTGCGACCCTGACATTCTGAACACACAGGCATCCCTTTATCACCATCGTACTACAGATTGACTAATTTCAGCAGACACATGGATCAAAGTACAATCCGCATGCCTCGTAGTGGCAGGTTTACTAAACTGAAGAGGATGGGTTTCTGAACCAGTTTGTTTGGAGAAATCGGAGTTTAAGCTTTAAAGACCCATAGACTGTGAAAAGGAAGCGATACCGGAGGGAGTGAATGAGTTAAAAACGTTTAAGAGCTGTCTACCAATCTCGGGCACACGTGCAAATGATCTCATTTTTTTTTTTAAAATCAGGCAGCTCAAATGTGCAGGGAATCAGCAGTCTGAATTTACATCTGGTCTTTCGTTTCGATTGTTCATTAGGTGAGGTCGTTACACCCATCATTTATCTCCTATTTCTTTTAATCAATCAAGGGATGTATCAGTTGCAATGCCAGCATTTCTTGCCTATCCCTAATTGCCTTGATGGTGTATGGTGTTCAGGAACCCACTGGATTCTCATCAGAGGTTTGTTATAACTGAACGGCCTGTTGGGACATTTCAGAAGGTAGTTTAAGAACAGACCACATTGCAGTGGGTCTGGCGTCACATGGAGGTAAGGAGCAGATAAGGATGACAGATTTCCTTCCTAAAAGGACACTTTATTGATGTTTGTTTTCTGATCAATTGCATTTGGATTAATAGCTGCACTGGTGGGCCTTAAACTGGTGTCTTCAGATCATGAGTCTAGACTTCTGGAGTACTGGTCCAGTAATCTACTCGTCTGTGCCAGTGGAGCAGGGACCAAACTCAAACTCAGTCTGTTGGATCTGGTTGACTAGCCTATTTCCGATGTTGACAGAGAATATCCCAGTGACCTTGTGCAACGCTGCACAGAGACCCATTTGGCCTGTTTCAGTAGGGAAGGGAGCCTCCATATCTAGCAGCAACAGTGAGTCAGTGTTTCAGAGCTGGCATTACTGCAGTTGTAAACTCGTACCTGCCTCTTCTGTACCTCAGAGCAGCAAAGCAGTCGCAAGATGTGACTTGATCAAAAGAAAAACTCTTTTTAACAACAGCCTCAGGGTGCAGGGAAGAAAGAGAGCAAGCTTCACCTTTAATCATGAAAGAACACAAGTCGAATAGTTTCCACTATACAGAGAGAGAGTGCAATCATTGGCACGGGGACCAAGAAGATATTTTGCCAAATTAAAGCTAATAAAAAAGTTAACCACTGGCTAAAAAGAAGGCATTGATACCAGTTCAAATTCCCACTCCCAAAAACAACAATTGAACTGTACTGATTCTCCTGTGTGATTGAACTAATCAAAACAAAAATCCCTGATTTACTGGACTTCACATCATTATTAAACAAACAAGAAGCTCCTCATTGATCACTCGACAATCATTGAATTGAAGAGCAAAAAAGAAATAGGAGCCTGATAGGCTGAATCGAGAAGTCAGTGAGTGATGCGTGCAGCTGACCAAATATTTGTCGAAACCTTCGGCTTTGCAGTCACCACAAGGCTCGGTGCAGTTTGGCCCAAAGCTGGTTTTCAATCACACACCGGACTTCTTGTACATTCATTCTCGGCAAGAGCAGTGTGCTCTGTTTTGTAAAGAGCCCAGAAACAGAGCTGCATTCATCTACTGGGAGGGACAAGCAAGAGCGTTTTATAAAATACTGGTTTTTGTACTTCCTCCAGGAGTTCTCCCTCCAACTTCTCAGAGCTGGAACATCCCTTCGACTGGCTCAAATTGGGCTACGTCCCATTTAACCTCTTAGCACATGTCAAAGCACATCAGGTTTCTTCTGCATTCTGCTCCAGACCTCAGAGCCAAAAAGGGTTAAATTAAAGACAAGTGGCACAGTCTGGTTACATATTCCCTTAAGTAAAGGTGGTTAAGGGATGATGTAATTAAACTGTTTGATAGAAAGGATTTGATAAGATAGATCGAGGAAAAACCCTCACGAGGGAGTGAAGGACAAAGGAGTATACAACCTTACAAGCACAGCTGTTCAGGGGTGATGTCAGATAGCACTCCGCAAGAATTTGCTGAAAACTTTTAAGAAAAAACTCTTCCCTTAAAAAGCCATTCAGATGAATTCAAAGTTAATCTTTCAACTTTTGTTAGGCAAGATTATTAATCATAGAATCCCTTCAGTGCAGAAAGAGGCCATTCACCCCATCGAGTCTGCACTGATCCTCTAAACAGCATCCCACCCAGACCCACACCCCTACCCTATCCCTGTAATCCTACATTATCGTGCAAATCTACCTAGCCTACACATCTCTGGACTCTATGGGGCAATTTAGCATGGCCAATCCACCTAACCTGCATGTTAGGGGAGAATGTGCAAAGTCCACACAGACAGTTGTCTGAGGATGGAATCGAACCTCGGTCCCTGGCGCTGTTCAGCAGCGATGCTAACCACTGAGCCCCCGTGCTGCCACTACTTAGCCACAAAATCAAGATGATAGTTGCAGTTGAGCTTCAGATCACCCAAGAATGGTGAACGAGGCTCAGGGAGCTGCTCAAGCCTCCCCCTGTTCCCATGGTCATATGGCAAACAGAAACCAGATTGGCACAGACCCACAACACTGCTGTAACCTTCATTTGGAAGCAATTAACAATCATTGCAGTTGATTCAAAAGACTGCCTTACATTGTGGGACAGGTAAAATCTCAATCAGTAAGGAAATCAAGTGAGACTGAATGTTTCCATGGACAGTTCATATTGGATCTCCATTGGCAAAAGACCCTCAACTAAATAATAATGTTGAGACACAGTAGGACAGCAAACAACCCCCAGAGTTAGTCCAGTGTTTCTTAAGATAGGGAAGGAGGAAATGTTCTGTAGGAGTGTCAGATGGAAAGCCGTACAGAGATCACGCTGCTGACTGACTAGCTCAGTGACATACAAAAAGGAGAGAATAATCCCTAAAAAAGAAAATAAATAAATGAGGAAACAAAACTCCACCAGCAAAGTCTGTCCACCCCAGAAAGGCTGCAACAGGCATGGGATATATTAACAAAATAATTTTTAAAAAGTTATAGCTGCCTCCAAAAGGAACAACACAAAACACCTACAGACACTTAACTGTTATAAAGTAGTTGGGAAAATAATAAAGGGGAGTTCAAATGGAAGTAGAGCAGATTAAAGTACAGAAGGCAGGGAGTATGCAGTTCAGAGACACCCCAATGAGCACCAGAGAGATTTATTCTTTTTGAAAAGCGACGGTGCTGCGGAGCAGAATTAATGCGATCCACAAAAGCTACAGTGTGTTGAATAACCAAGTGGGGGATTTTGTTTAATGATGTACAACAGTTTTCAACTGTAGGGTTGCCATGGTGAAATGGTACCAAAACAATCTTATTATTTCCTTCTCTCCACAAGTCCTCTGGACTTTCATGCATTCAAATAACTGCATTTATGTAGCACCTTTACGAGACCAAAAACATTCCACGGTGATCTTCGGAGATTAAATCAAGCAGATAATCAAAACTGACGAAAGGAAAGAGACATTTGGATCATAATGGATAGATTGATGTGAGTCAACGCTGACTCACTGATTCTTCAGTGCACAGACAGACCGTGGATGGAGATCCCTGCTCCACTCTCGTGTCTGTCCAAGCCACTTGTCAGATCACTGCGATACCTTAAGCTTCATTGTGTAAGAGGAATAAAACAGTTTGTTTTTATGAAGCAGGTAATCCCAATATCTAAACAGCTATTTGCCTGCCATTACCAGCGTGGCAGGGTGATAAGGTGGCAAAAATAAAAGAATCTTGATAACTAAGAATTCACTTCTGCAAACTCAAACCAATAATTTATCTCTTGAAGGCTAGCTGCGGCATTATCAAAGAGGCACAGACACAGCAAGCTTTAGCCATCCTTGTCCTAATGTACAGATAAGTTACTAAATTGTTGCTAGGAATATTTGCAACCCACAAAATGAGTATTTACCTGTTTAGCTTCCATTAATGCTTGTGCTACTCGACAAGGGATTATAGCAGGGATGTAACCTTGAGTGCATAATTATTGAAAA